AGTTATTCGTACAACATCCGTAGGATGGTTGATTGGAACACTGAGGTGATCTTTCGGAAATTAGTTCCAGCATACGTTCGTCGAATTTGAAAAGCGGTCGTTCACTAGGTGCGTTCTGAAAGATTCAGATCGAGAACAGCGTCTAGATCGCTGGTAGTGTTCTCTTGAGAACTGTTTACTTTATCAGCCGACGTCGAAGCGTCTCATTCTGAACGCGAGCGCGGCGCCGCAACAATTTAGGCTAAATATTGATATTTTATCGTTTGCTATGCGGACCGGCCGGATGGCCAACAAGACCTGCTGGCATTCGGAATGCACGTTCGTCCGTGCGTCTCTTCGCAGTTCGCAGAACACTTGAGATCTCGACGGTCCAAACACAAATCGTGTTACACAACAGACAAATGGATGTGTTGAAACAATTCCCCTAAGAGGAGAACGGATGAAGGAGAACGATGATTTCGAGTCTTCTCGCATTCTTCTGTGGGGAGACGAAGGTTTCGAGAAAAAGTCGACTCGAGCGAGGTCGAGGAAGAGGAAGCGCATTGAATTATCGAATTTAGCGATGTGGAGATCTTATTAGAAACATTCAAGTCAGAGGGGGAAGCGTCCAGTTCCACCGGATTTCTCTCGAAACAGGAATCAAGCTCGAGGAATGAGGTCGGCGGAGGAGCTTTCCGCGGGAGGCAAATAAATCCGTTCCGAAATGGTAGCCGAAGTGTGCCGGGACACCCAGTTGCGTGGATGGCCCCACAACTCGAAATGAATTGAAGTTTATCGACGACTTGACTTTCTTTGCTTGATGTTCATCTCAAGAGAGGCAAGTGGCCTTCTTGATACCGATGAGTGGTGCTTCGTCTAGCTGCGATCCAACGGGGGTTTCCGTAGTACTTGATCATCGCCGAATTTCACGTCCAATTTTCGTCTGACCCTTGAGCGGGCCAAGAGCTTCTTGGGGCTTTTCTCCGCATTTTCAACGCGTGCATTCGATTTACTGCCGCTGTCGACACGTTCCCTCCTTGAATTAGAGAGAAGACTGCCGCTCTAGTGATGGCTTCTGATGCGGTATAGTTTTCAATCTCATCCCGCTGAAACAATCCTTGTCGTAGCCTCACCCGATTCCCATCGGTTCATGCAATTAAAAACAGTCATTGAGGGCAATCCCAGTCACCGGCGGTTCGGCGGGCCATCTCCGAGCGAATCTACTCGCTGTCTTTGAGCATTCTTTTGGAACGGACGAATGCCTTCAGGGTGCTGGCAGGTCAGAGTAGATAAATCAAGGATTAAAGAGGCGTATCTTGTAGTCTGGATGCTTGAAACAGCACATATTCAACGCATCCATCGCAAGCGTAGAAGAGAGGGGAGCTCATGCAAATTAAATAATCCGGCGAGCCGATCGCTGTTTTCCTGGATTAAAAATTGAGGATTATGAGGATGTGTCAAACGTCTCGTTTGCTGTCGATGGTTAGCTCGCGGTCGGCCCGCATGTCTCGTTTGAAACATTTTAAAAACGTGCATGTACCGACATACGAGGCTGACGACTCATCCGTCACTGGGTTACAATAAAAAAAGATGAGCGGAGAGAAAATCTACTCCGCTGCGTCCTCGTTTGCAGTGAGACACACATAATAGTCGGTAAACTGGCTCGCAAGCCTATTAGCTGTTCGCCCACAAGTTGTCTTGGCGAGTGGTGAAAACCTCCGAGACTTCGCCGTGGAGCAATAATTACCCACCATAGGGGACTCATTGCGAAAGATGACGACTGTCCAGAGAGAGAGGTGTCGTCTTCGGCATTGCGTCACGTATTGCGCGCGTGCTCCAAAACACCAGAGATCAGCGACAAATTATTAAACCTACGTTCTTACCTCAACTGGGATCGCATCCGATTCCAAATTTAGCTCTCGAGTGCAGTAAGATGTGGACGTTTGCGTAAATTCATCCGATGGAGAAATAAATCATATTCGGGAAAGTCGGGCTCGTTAAGAGTTCAGAGCAGTTCGAGGCAGCAATATTTCATCACTTCCTTCTGGGACTCTGCGCTCGCGCCGGACTTGAGTCCACATTCAAATTCTACGGGGAAAGGAGTCGCGGAAATTACGATCGATGAGCGCTCTCATCATTACATGCGCATTTACGAAGAATGTCCTCAATAGGCATTTATTGAGGGGCAGGCGGAGAGGAAATTCCCACCACAAGCCCTCCAGTCGCGCTCGACACAGCGGCCGACCGCGGGAAAATGCTGTTCCCAGCTTCGACCATCTCCTCTCATGCATATGCTTGACATGCTCAGAAGCAGAAGGTTCCCGTATCTCTCAATGTCAGTCAAGGTCGATGCTCATATAATACCACAATTCCCTTTATAGAGGGGATACTTGGTTTCCAGCTGTTCTGTCATCTGTAAATGACCCCCGGGGGGAATCGTCGTGAGCATATCTCCGGAGAGGTCGAGAAAACGTCGAGGATCATGAAACATTATCATGCGTCGTGCATGCCGAGCAGGGTTCCTCAAAAAGTGATACGTAGATCTTTCAGAGGAGGACTTCTTACGACGAAGCGAGAAAATTATGTTTCTTTGAAATCTCCCGAAGTCACGTGGAGAAAGCTGCCCCTGTGGTAGAGCGTGCCCCTGTTCAGGCTGGAGCACTTTATGATACCTCTGAGTTTCCATTTCATCTGGTTATACTCTCGAATCCATGGTGCTCTTCCAGAGTGGATCTTCTTTTTGCGGAGGGAACACGAACTTGCTGCTCTCATTCGTGGTTTCTTCGGGTATCCGGATACTCATCCGGATGAAGTCTGCTGCGGTCCTTCGTGTTCCATCGAGTCAGGACTGCGGTTTCGTTGCTAGAGTGCAGACTCTGATATGTCGCAAGAGCGCCCTTTGTGCGGGCACCTATCCTCGCTGCCGCTCGAATTTTCGGTTCCTCCCGGGCGGTCCGCTCACGTGCTGGTGTCCTCGGATCTCCCATGTCGGAGGATCGTCCGGATCAGATCGATCCCCTTGCATGCATTCATCGTTCGCCGACGGAAGATATGCGAAACAAGGCCCGACGTGAGTCTTTCTAACGCAGAAACCGCTGCTGCGGGGGATTCGACCTTGGAAACAATTTCTCTTATTCTTCTTACAGAAAGAGAAAATTTTTCTTATTGACAAGTCCCGACCAAATCATCCGAAAAAATCAGAAACATATTGTTCCCCAGGGATGAATCCCGAGGGAAAGTATGATAGAAGGCTCGGAGACAGCAATTTCTGTTCAGACGTGACAAGCGACGATTGGGCAGAGGATCGATCAGGAGCTTAAAATATTGAAATCCCTTCATGCAAGTTTTCACGTCGAAGCTTGCTTAATCGGAGCTTGCCCACGATGTGCTCATCGGGTGGAGCGATTTGCTCTCGCTGCCGCTATCATTCAATTGTACCTACCTGATTGGGCCATTCTCTCGCTGCAAGCCGGTTGCGGATCCCGGATTTTTTCAGTCTAAATGATCGATCGCTAGTTTAGGGGAGAGGATGGAGCTGCCTGATACTTCTTCATACGTTTATCGAAGCATGGATTTGTCCTTCCTACGAGGTTATTCATGAACGCTCGGAGCCTAAAACCTCTGTCTGAGCAGCTATCCGCCCGTTAGGATGCTCGCTCGTTGGGAGTATCGAGTGTTTATTCTACCACGGCCAACCAGTCCGTTCAACTGTCCGTCCGCGCGTCCACCGGCCTAGGCGGGGAAGCTAGGCTACGGCCAAATGCTCTGGGAGTGCTGAGAGGTGCTTGCTGGTTTCAGCCAGGTCTCCTCTCATTCATCCATCTACCGATCTATCCATCCATCCCGCGAGCCTGCCAGCGGAAACGGTTGCTCTTTCCCTCCACCTTCGTCCCTCTAGCTCTTCGAGAAGCTATCTGGATAAGCCAAGGTGTGTTTACTTAAGGTCTTTGCGCACATATAGATTGGGCATTTGTATTATGGCTACATCCGGCGACCGCGGCCGATATATGTATGCGGCTCCGTAGGTGTTAATCGCCGCGACGGTCCGCCTCCCCGATTTCGTTTATCATAAGGACGATCTCTCCTTCAATATACGAGCCGCTATGGGGTAAGCGCGAACAATTATTGCGATCGATGGGAATCACTTATGGATCATTGCGTCGTTGGGCCCGAGAATCGATGAGCCTGAGGCTCGCATCAGCCGATCTCAAGTGACCAAGTCAGCCTGCTTTCCCGGACTTGGCACTTTTCGATATCCCGTCCTTTGATTCTTGAGAATCGGGGAGCCCCGGGATCTCTTGGGATCACCTCCCTCAATCTGTCTGATCATCTGACTCGCCACACAGCCTTCCTCGGCGTATCGATGGGCGTATGGGATCGGAATCAGATATCCCGGGAAAGATCCTCCTCGGCAGTCATCGGAACGAGAGACGCTTTTTCGGTCTCATCATTCCAGAGAGAATCAAATCAGAAGAATAATGTCTATGCTTAGTAGCCTTGTCCGTGTCGGGAGTCTCAGTGGCGCCTCTTGGGTCTGTCTTCTTCGACCAGCTTCAACGTTCTCATCGTAATCACAAACATAATCGAGCCAACACGAAAAGAGGCAATAAAGAGAAAAAGTGTTTTTGTTACGAACTGACTGTTTATTTACAGTGTACAAGGTAAGGTCGGGATTCATACAGTTATATTTTCATCCACTTGTTCATCTGATCGAGTCGCCATTTGTTTCCTCCGTCCGCGCATTTCTCAATCTCATCTCCCTGGAGCTGACGAGTAACAAAGGCAGTTGAGATTCCGAGACGGGACCCGCGAAGTCCCGATCAGAAACAAATGTCCTGGATTACGCTTTCGAACTTCGCTTCGTTTTTGACTTACTGGAGTTCCCCATTGGAAGCTCGGTCATAGGACCCCAGAGCGACAATTTTTTCTTCCACTCCGAATATTCACTCTCGTTGACTAGTTTAGAAAATGAATTGCTGTGTCAATACTGTAGCAGCCTTTTAAACATCTACTCGGACACGCTAAATTGGGTACGACCAGCCCTGCTGTCGTGCCGTGGGCGAGCCGTTATCACAAAAGTAACCTAAGTGGTTGACGGCAGCAGCAGCGGCGGCTGCCGTTGCGTGCCCCGAAAATCCCGACGGACCCGCAGCCTGCGCAGGATGGTAATCCTGAATGCTGGCGACATAGCTGCCAGGATCAGGACTGGAACAGTCTTGCGTGTGCCACCTGTAGCCCATCTCGGTCAGCTGGTCCCCGGTGTTGTTAATCGGCGCAGCCTCCATTGCGGGATAAACCACGGATTTTTTCAAATGACCGTAGTGCCAATGTGTTTGGGAATACATTCCGGCGTCGATCCGTTCGCTCCCGACTTGATAGAACTCGACACCTGCAGCGCTCTGTGGGGGCGAGGGATATTCCTGTTTGACCGTTGCGGATTTTGAGGTAAGAAGCTGCATTTCCGATGGCGAGCCGAGCACCATGTGCTGTACTGGGTAAGCGACCGCCATGTCGTCTTTCGCCGCAAAATCTGACCGTACGGCTGCTGCAGCTGTCGGAGCGACAACATCTGCGGCGGTGAAGCATGTTTGTTGCTGCTGATGTTGATGGTGTTGTTGCTGCTGCTCCTGTTGCAGTTGCTGTAGCTGCTGTTGTTGCTGCTGCTGCTGCTGCTGAAGTTGAAGATGGAAAGGTGGTTGCGGCGTCGAGCAGGCGAGAGCTGTCCGAGCCGCGGATGTGACGCTTGCAGGTGTTGATGTCAACGTAGTCAATGTTTCACCGCTCGATGAGAAGGAGACTTGCTTCTTCGACTTTTTTGGTTTATTTGGCACTCGCATTGTGGGTCTTTGTGCGCCGTTCGGAGCCGCGTTGACAGCGGGTTCGTCGACGTCGTTCTTGCGCTCCAGGTCGCTTTTCTTGAAACGTCTCCTCCTACGCAAATAACTTCCGTTCTCGAACATGTTGAGCGATTCTGGATGTAGCGTCCAGTAACTTCCCTTGCCGGGCTTCTTCTCGTCGCGAGGAATTTTCACGAAGCACTCGTTCAGCGAGAGGTTGTGTCGAATCGAGTTTTGCCAGCCCTGTTTATTATGCCGATAGAAGGGGAATTTGATCATGATGAAGTCGTAGATTCCGCTCAGAGTTTGCTTCTTCTCCGGCGTGTTCTGGATGGCCATGGCGATCAGAGCGATATAACTGTAGGGGGGTTTCACCATGTCCTTGTGGGCGATATGCGACGACTGCAAAACCGAGTTCTGGTGCGTCAGCGCGAGGTGCGAGCTCCGGTAGTCGTCGCTCGAGGCGTACGGGGAGAGGATCTGAGATCCCATCGGCATGTCGTTGTAGGAATACGAAGCATACGCGGAGCTCAGACGGCCCACGTCGACCGCAGGAGATAGGGGGGTTGTGGAGCGTCGCATTATCATCAATCGTCTCGTGATCGGAGGTCAAGCGAGCAATCGGGACGTGTCGAGGCTGAGAGGAACACCTTATAGACGACTGCAGTATTTGGAGATCCAAGACAACCTCGTTGGATTTGAGGTCCACCTGCGGTCAGCCTAGCCCGATGACCCTCACAGACAGGCTTGCGACTTGCGTTATTGCTTCGAGAACAACACACAGAGAACGAGACGTGCTTTGCACGTAGGTAACGTCACGGGAGTTCACTTCACTGCACTGCACGGCACATCCGCCTGAGCTGCTCACAGCGATGCCGGGAGGCAACTAAACGTGACCCCGTCCAACATTTCCTGTAATTTCGAATATAAACAATTTTAAGTTTCGGTTTATTTGGCAGCGGAGGCAGCAACGACTGAGCGAGCGATGAAGTCTGAGACATAAGCCAAACAGAACGTAGGAGTAAAAAATTAAGAAGCAAAAGGGCGGACGACATGACCATTCTACTTCCACAATAGACCCGACCAGCGTTCGGAGCCATATCGACCTGCTCGAAAAAGAACGTCCATGCGAGCAGTCAAAAATTTGAGAGAGCCGTGAATGGAATTCGGGACCGACATAGGTTTACATTTCTGGCAATAATTGCGGAAGGCTTCCACCGTCTCATCGCAAAAACCGAACTCTCGCTCCGGGAGAGACTCCGCTGCGTCCGCTACGGCAAAGTATCAGCGGCGTTCGTTTCGCTCCAAAGAGTCGGTAAACCTCAACCTGCGCAAAACACGCGTGTCCGAAATTTGAGCAGTACCTAGATTAACCTCTCAAATGTCCCGGGTCTCAAATGACCGAAAGTGCACGGCGAGCTCACTCCACATTGAATCCTATTCCGATCGGGCCAACGATAATTATCGATCCTTCGCCGGCCAGTCGCACTCACCGCTAGGACGGCCACCGGACGTTACGCTGGAGTTCCATGAGGGCACTCTGGACTCGAACTCACTCCCACAACTGACGGACATATGCAGTTCCACGCTCACATCAACAGCTCCGTACGGAAGCTCGTCGACGATGTTGAAAAAAACACTCGTCGATGCCGTCGCAGCTGCCGTCAAAACAGTTGATTACCAGTTCTAATTGCAGGCTGCTTGGCTAGCTGCTTGGCTGACTTGCACACAGGGTTGGCTGGTCAACTCGAACCGAGACCGGTTTGTTTACTTTAGCTCGGCTAGAGCCAGAGTCGTTCCAAAGCGGCCGGCGACAAAGTGCCAACGCGGAACGACCGCCTCCGAGAGGCTCCGCCCACAGAGCGCTCCGGTCATTTGGGCGTGGCTTGCGACGAGCTCACAACTTCGTAGACTCCTCCTGAACGTTCGATAAAAAGAACGAGCTCACACCGTTCGCTGTTCAGAGCATAGAGGAAGAAGGAACGCAAGCGGGAAGGCTGGCTGCTCACTGGCGGGCAGAAAGGCTGACAGACGGACTGCTGCTGAACGTTGATGGCAGGCCATGCTGGTGCTAATCGCGCTCTGTGAGACGCTCGGTGTTGATGAGCTATGACTTGTTCACACGTTCTCGCTCTGAAAACTACCATTTCGGATGAAGCACCGCTTCCATCATCGTCTCCATCAACACTCGTTTCAAGCTGGGCGAGATTTACCCTCAGTCAGTCAGCCTACATCATGGACCTGATTGACTTACAGACCTCGGGTGGACGCTCGAATCTGTCCCAGCGGGAAGAATAAGTTTATCCCCCAACGTTGAGGCGTTACGATGACGGAAAATTCCTTTCTTCTGGATTGTCCGGCTATCTTTCTGTCCAGACTGTCTGGAGGTCCAGAGTGAGGCCGTCGAAGGAAAACTATCTGTCTCAGGAACCCGCGGACATTATTCGCGATTCGCGCCTGCAGAACATAGTTTTCCCGAATACTTGATTCGAGCTCTGGCTTTTTTCGATTCATTTCTCCTGGGAGCGGAAGGAGGGGTTTGATTGGATTCTCTTTGGGGCTGAGAATTTGAAACGGCGACCCGCTCCTATACTTCAGCATCAAGATCAAAAGCTTGGGGGGAGGTGGAGCCCCATCCAGTCCCGAGGTGGACACGCTGCTTGTTAGAAGTCCTCAATCACGACTCCGGGGGGATCCGAATTTAAGCAATGGGGGAGGGTTCGTGATCGGAACGATGATGCTATTTTCGGGTGAGATATTCCGTCTCCGATCCGATGGGGATCTCGTGAGGGCGCGGGAAGGACGGAGGAAAGCCCGCCCGAATAGACGACCCTTGAGCTGGTTTCGAAGCTCGAGCGCAGAAATTGCTCGCAGCACAAGAGCAGCATCCTCAGGTGAGCGGATACTAAGTCACGACGCTCAACTCCCGAAAACTCCGCGTTGATCCCCACGTGACGGATCGGTCGTTTGTAGGGCCATCCGGTGGCGGACTTGAGGTTCCGCATTTCTTCAAACGGGCAGGGCCGAGAATTTTCGTCTCTTGAGCAATTCAGATGCAATTCCATCCGTCCATGATTCCGTCCTTACATTGCGCGAGATCTTTCCGTAGTCGCATCTGCCGCTCAGCTTATTCGGAAGGAAGTACATATCTTCATCTGGATCACCCCATGTACAAAATGCCAATAGCTTACGAAGCATTCCGGAACCGACATGTACATGCAAATAAGAAGATCCGTTCGATCTTCGTGTTCGCATTCCGCCGTTGTCACGGGGCGAAGAAATAATTCTTCACGGGTTACTCGCTCTGGTCATCGTCCGTTTCGATACAGCATCGAAAAAGTAAGCCGCGAGAACGGATTTTCAAAAAGTCGTGGAAAGGCAGCGAGGGAGTGAGATGGTAGAGAATGAGGGAAATTCGAAACCACAATAGAATGACGTAGGAAGGAACCGCAGAGTACGCGAGCTATCGTAATTCATGCGGTCTCTCCATTGACAGCTACAGCTAGATCATATATATTATTATCAGCCCTAACGCATTCGAATTCGTGGGATGTCCCGCAGCCATCAGCGATTGCTACTGGCCTACATGACGGACACTCTCTTGAGGGCTTAAGCGATCCGTAGAGGTAGAAGGAACGGATGGTCTCCCAGCCGAGACTCTTTGAGGGAGCGGGCCTGTAAGAAAGGGTCGATCGCCTCCCCCCAGATTTTGCTGGAAAGAGCCTGCGGCATCCTCGGAAACGGAGTCGTAGGAAATTAAACATCGTGATGTCATATTTCTTCAGAATTTCCTAAGTCACCTACCGCTCCGTGGTCAGAATTGGAATGTCGCTTCAAAATTCCCCCTCACGGCAACCACCGCGTGCCTCCTGTTTCCGTTGCATTTGTTGGATAAAGTCTGACAGAAAAACGAAGATCCCACCTCTCGCCGGTGAGGGTCGGGAATTTTCCCTCAGAGTTCGCATACTTAAATCAGTGGCGGATTGACCCAGTAGGCTTAGTAGGCTATAGACTGCGGCGGCAGTTTTCGGGGGGCGGCGAGATCCTGGTTGGATCTCCTGTGATCCTCGGCAACTCACTCAGTGAAATCATTCGAGACCGAGACGAGGACGTCAACTCTGTCCATGAGCTTGAGGCTGCCAGATCAACGGCGGACAGCCGTCTCGAAAACGTACAGCGAGACATGATTTCTAGGATACCCGATCAACTATTTTGAGTAGGAACTCTTCCTCTCGCTCTTCTGGGATCGACGTAATAAGTGGAGACAATTTCTAAATCTAAGGATTCTTAGTCTTTTTGCGGAATAGAAAAGAAATCTTAGACTCGGAGAAAGCGCCGGGAAGTATCGGGATTCAGTCCCAGATGGGTTGTGTCAGGGCAGCGGTCCTGATCGAGCCTGGGGGCGGCGATTTCGTGAATCCGCCGCTGCCTAAATCTGATGAAGACACGGAGGCATGACAAGACAACTACATTTACAACAATAGCAGCTTCTCCCATGAGCTCGACCGGGAGATAATCATCGACATTTGGATCGAACTCGAACCCCCCCTCCCTAGAAGTCAGCATGTTTCTGGGAGTTTTTCAAGCATTTGAAGCTTTTTTCTTGAAGAAACAACAGAGAAGCTGTAACCAAAACGATTTCGTCTTCTTCCGTCTACAGCAGCGACGACCTGGCTTCCGGAAGCGTTTTTTCGTCCCCGGGATTTCTTTCCTCACGGCCGGAATTATTATGGAGAGGGGCACCTCCTTGTCTCCTTCTGTTCGGAAACCTAGAATGAACGTGGGAAATTGCTTCACGTTTCCTTCGATTAGGTTTTCTCCGATCGAAGGCTGTTTCGCTCAGATGGTGTTCAACGCGGATGATTCCTCCCGGTCATCCAGCCCGGAAAGCTGAAGCGGACAATCCTCGTATATCTAAGTACCTGGAAATGCGATCCGTTGTGCCGGTGGCTTGATCGGCGGGCGAGACAATCGAAGTCCCGCAAAAAACCTCCCGCTGCGAGGACTGGCTCTGCTTGGCGACTCTCCTGGAGATGTCCTGCTCGCTGCCTCAGAAACTGTGGTAAGTCCTGCCGTCGTCGTTTGACGTGCGGATGCGTATGTTCTATCAGTATAAGTAGGGTTCCAATCCGGATACTCGCCGGAAGCATTGCTTTCCTGTATATCGTCTGTTTCCTCGAAGAAACCAGTTTCACGCGTCACTCCTTCGCTCATCGGACTTCAGGAGCAGGGGATATTCCGCAAACCTTACGCATCCTAGTCGGATGCGGCTTCCGCTATGAGATCGGCCTCTGACGCGGGCATGTATCGTTCGCTGAAGAAACAGAACTGTATTCAAGAGCATACATACGAAGCACAACGTTGTTTTCCGCGAAGAGGAATTATTGAGGACTCCGCGATATCGCGAATTCATGAGCTCGGGGATCCGAACTTCAGCGGCTCGATTGAGAGCCCTCGATTGTATACAAGATCCGTTGAGCACGGGGGCCTCAAAAGGTGGGCCAAGAGAAGCGCTGAAGCTTTGAAGCATTCCCGAGAAGGCACTCCCGGACGTATCCTGCTTGTGTCGAAACGGAGGAGGTCATGGGCCTTTAATTGCAGTAGACTTGCTCTAGGGAAGTTCCCGTGCCGAAGAGTACCTTCGTGAGCCGATCGACTACGGCGATTTTGCGCCGAGACCATCACAACAGACTCAAGAGATACACATTTCGAAGTAGCCTTGATATGCATAATACTGCTCGTGCTTGGGAAGGAAAAATCGCAGTCTCAGTCTCGATTGTAATCGATGCAGCCGCTCGGAAATGACCAAGGTGTTAAATATCTCGAGTTATAACACGATAGCCGCGATAGTATCGGCGATGGCCGCTTGGCGGCATTGGAGTCGAACACCCGCGTCGGCCGACGTCGACGGCACGACGATAAGGTCTGATAATAAAAGAGAGTTGTTGTCTGCAACCCGAGAGTGTGTGAGCATCATCGAAATCTTTTTCCTCCGACTTGCGATCGGGTACCCGGAAATCCTTCCGCATTTTGTCCACCGAGTAAAGTTTAACATGGTGCCGTGACCAGGATAATCGCCTGGTGTCAGCACCAACATTGCCGAGCCGAAATCGACGCTACGCGGGCAGGGGAGCGGCCTCAAACGACATCGAAACTCGCAGCATTCAAATTATTTCTCGACGAAGACGGGCTACTCCGGGCCGAGACCCGACTCACCGAAGGCCCCTTCTTCACCTACGACGAGCGAAACCCAGTTGTCATTCCTGGCGAGTCCAGATTCGCTAAGTTGCTCATTATGGACTCGCATCGGGTGAACGCCCACTTCGGCGTGAATACGATCCTGAATCACCTCCGGCGACGGTTTTGGGTTACTCGGGCTCGGCAGATAATTAAGGGAATCCTGCATCGATGTGTCACCTGCCGACGGAGACAGGGAAAATTTGCCCGACAGATCGAGGCCCCGCTCCCCGAGGCCCGCTTGGAGTTCACGGTTCCTTTCCGAGTGACCGGAATCGACTTCTGTGGACCGTTCTTTGTCACCCATCAGAAGACCACCTCGAAGGCGTACGTAGCGTTGTTCACTTGTGGAGCAAGTCGCGCGATTCACCTAGAGCTGGTGCCATCACAGAGTACTCCGCAAACTCATTTGGCGATCCGACGTTTCCTTGCTACGTATCCCGGTTGCGTCAAGTTCATCTCGGATAATGGTTGTAATTTCGTGAAAGCTGCGACGGATATCAAACGTCTCTTCAATGCGATGAAGAAGAAAGAGACAGCCGAGACTTTGGAGGGACGATCGATAGATTGGACTTTCAACTGCCCGCGGGCGCCCTGGAGGGGCGGATTTTTCGAGCGTATGGTAGGACTTGTGAAGGCCGCGCTCACTAAAGGGCTTGGCCGGCGCCTCCTTGGTTATGAGGAATTCCGCACAGTCCTATGCGAACTCGCTGCGGTCGTCAATGATCGACCGATAACACACGCGCCGACGGATTCCGAGGACCCGCTAGCATTGACGCCGGCTCAATTTCTCCGTGGCGGCCCCCACCATCCAGCCCTTGCTGCTGACCTACCCGTCGACGCTCTTCCGGGCGACAAACCAGTGTCGGGCGAAGAACTGCGAAAGAATTTCGTTGCGAGGAGATCGTATTTCAAGGACCTCTCCGTGCGGTGGTTCCGCGAATATATGCTCCTCCTCAAGTCGGCAAATCAAACGAGAGGGCTCTCGGCTGACCCCATCCGGGTGGGCCACGTTTGCCTCCTGAAGGAGGACAATTTACCAAGGATCCGCTGGAAGCTCGTCCGAATCGTTGACGCTCACCGGGGTCGCGATGGAAATATCCGAACGTATACTGTAAAAGTTTTCAAATCTAAGAACGTCTCGCCGTGCCGCCCAGCTATTGTGTCCGCTGGAGGTGACGGCGGACGAGGCAACTGACAAAGAATAATCTAAGTGAAACGCTCCCCGTTTCCGGGGGGAATGTTAAATATCTCGAGTTTTAACGCGATAGCCGCGATAGTATCGGCGATGGCCGCTTGGCGGCATTGGAGTCGAACACCCGCGTCGGCCGACGTCGACGGCACGACGATAAGGTCTGATAAAAAAAGAGAGTTGTTGTCTGCAACCCGAGAGTGTGTGAGCATCATCGAAATCTTTTTCCTCCGACTTGCGATTGGGTACCCGGAAATCCTTCCGCATTTTGTCCACCGAGTAAAGTTTAACATGGTGCCGTGACCAGGATAATCGCCTGGTGTCAGCACCAACATTGCCGAGCCGAAATCGACGCTACGCGGGCAGGGGAGCGGCCTCAAACGACATCGAAACTCGCAGCATTCAAATTATTTCTCGACGAAGACGGGCTACTCCGGGCCGAGACCCGACTCACCGAAGGCCCCTTCTTCACCTACGACGAGCGAAACCCAGTTGTCATTCCTGGCGAGTCCAGATTCGCTAAGTTGCTCATTATGGACTCGCATCGGGTGAACGCCCACTTCGGCGTGAATACGATCCTGAATCACCTCCGGCGACGGTTTTGGGTTACTCGGGCTCGGCAGATAATTAAGGGAATCCTGCATCGATGTGTCACCTGCCGACGGAGACAGGGAAAATTTGCCCGACAGATCGAGGCCCCGCTCCCCGAGGCCCGCTTGGAGTTCACGGTTCCTTTCCGAGTGACCGGAATCGACTTCTGTGGACCGTTCTTTGTCACCCATCAGAAGACCACCTCGAAGGCGTACGTAGCGTTGTTCACTTGTGGAGCAAGTCGCGCGATTCACGATTAATGGTTGTAATTTCGTGAAAGCTGCGACGGATATCAAACGTCTTTTCAATGCGATGAAGAAGAAAGAGACAGCCGAGACTTTGGAGGGACGATCGATAGATTGGACTTTTAACTGCCCGCGGGCGCCCTGGAGGGGCGGATTTTTCGAGCGTATGGTAGGGCTTGTGAAGGCCGCGCTCACTAAAGGGCTTGGCCGGCGCCTCCTTGGTTATGAGGAATTCCGCACAGTCCTATGCGAACTCGCTGCGGTCGTCAATGATCGACCGATAACGCACGCGCCGACGGATTCCGAGGACCCGCTAGCATTGACGCCGGCTCAATTTCTCCGTGGCGGCCCCCACCATCCAGCCCTTGCCGCTGACCTACCCGTCGACGCTCTTCCGGGCGACAAACCAGTGTCGGGCGAAGAACTGCGAAAGAATTTCGTTGCGAGGAGATCGTATTTCAAGGACCTCTCCGTGCGGTGGTTCCGCGAATATATGCTCCTCCTCAAGTCGGCAAATCAAACGAGAGGGCTCTCGGCTGACCCCATCCGGGTGGGCCACGTTTGCCTCCTGAAGGAGGACAATTTACCAAGGATCCGCTGGAAGCTCGTCCGAATCGTTGACGCTCACCGGGGTCGCGATGGAAATATCCGAACGTATACTGTAAAAGTTTTCAAATCTAAGAACGTCTCGCCGTGCCGCCCAGCTATTGTGTCCGCTGGAGGTGACGGCGGACGAGGCAACTGACAAAGAATAATCTAAGTGAAACGCTCCCCGTTTCCGGGGGGAATGTTAAATATCTCGAGTTATAACACGATAGCCGCGATAGTATCGGCGATGGCCGCTTGGCGGCATTGGAGTCGAACACCCGCGTCGGCCGACGTCGACGGCACGACGATAAGGTCTGATAATAAAAGAGAGTTGTTGTCTGCAACCCGAGAGTGTGTGAGCATCATCGAAATCTTTTTCCTCCGACTTGCGATCGGGTACCCGGAAATCCTTCCGCATTTTGTCCACCGAGTAAAGTTTAACACAAGGAATGCGGGGAAAGACGGTGGACGGTGGATTCGCCGGGAAAAAATTTGGGATGAATGCGGTGCTATTGATACGAGACGCATTGATCCCGTCACAAGTCAGACCCCGATCCGCATAGGATTCGATAAGGCGGCGAAAATCTGGTGGAGCGCCCCGACTCGAGCACTGTCGCGGCCGCGCCACGGCTCTAGGCGGAACGGGAAAGTACGCGCGCATTGTTAGCTTGAGGGCTACGCTAAGTTGAGCGCTTTCAAACACAGAGAAACTCGTGCGCTGAGACCGCATCATGGCTCAAGCCAGCGGGGAGGGCGAGATACTCACCTGCTTGGAGAAAGATTCGATACCGCGGTAGTGTCTCAGCACAGCTCATCTACGGAATCTGCGTCGTCGGAGAATGCTCTTAGGATCTTTCGAGCTCGGACACGCTGTGCAGGGGTTTCGGCATATCCACGATGCGGTTCCTGCGGGAGGTCTGCGACACGATCCTCGAAGCGTACTACGGTTCACGGGAGATTCCTGTGCTACGACTTTGAGGGACTTCTGATACTTCGGCGAATTGCATTAATTTCTAACTCCGACCTACGGACAACGCATGTTAGCCGTACTGCGCTTCTACGGCATACGGTCGGTGTCCGCAGCACGGTTTTTCGGATTACGGGTGTTGAGCGTAATGAGGTTCTACGGACTTCGGAATTGTGAGCGTGATGCGGTACTTCGGACGACGGATGGTGAGCGGAGTTCGAGTCTACGGACTACGGACGATAGCCGAAGTACGGCTCAATGGTTACAGATCGTAGTGGGTTAATCCTTTGCGCTTCTCCCACGGGGTCCGCATTTTCGGGAAAGGCATTATGAAGTCGGAGAATCGAGAAGGAATTGCTTCCTGCGTCGGGAGCCGGAATTCGTGACTCTTGACTCGTGACCAAGGGACGCCATTCGCCAGCCCGACTTCCAGAAACAAGAATTCGTTGGAGAGGGACTCAGAGTCAGAGAAATTCCCGCGAAATTTCCCGGAGTTCATGATGCGGGATGGCATTCGGTTCCCACCCTGGGCGCGAATCCAGCGAATATTGTCTGTACATCGGGATCAGACATCGAGCTGCATGGATGTGAATGCGTACCCCGTTCCGCATGGGGCGGATTAATCTCTCAATTTCTTAGGGAGGTTTCAATTATATCATGCTCTTGTTCGCGCTTTTAAAGCCGTACGAAGAAAAAAAAATCGTGAAGGTTCGGAGTGTCGAGCTCCCGCCCAGATCATGACAGGACGAGGCGCGCGGGGGTCGGAATTCCTGAGCGAATCGACAGAATACGCAGTTCACAATCCTCAAATCGACGCCTTCAAAACCATAGAGCTCGACGAGAACGAGATGTACAAAAAACTACTTCGGAATGTCCTCTTCCACCCGGAGTCGGCTTTCATTCGAAAGATCCTCTTCGAACTCCAACCATGGCCTAATAGTGAGGTATACATCTTTGAGCAACAGGATGTCCGCGTACCGTTGGCGTTGGTCGCTCATGCTCTCCTGACAATACCTACGGGAATGACGTGCCCTGCTAAAGAGGCGCTCTGCAGGCACGCTTTTTGGCTGAATCGTATTGAGGATTCGAGTTATCCGCCGTGGCAAGACGTCGATGCCTCGCTTATGAAGTTCCATCAACTCTTTGGTGGAAACTGCGTCCGATGCAACTTCTCCTTGACTTGCCTGCATAGAGACTTCGAACTCGTCAAGCAGAGGATGGCTATCTTCCGCGCGGGCTTCACGCCGGCTGCAGCACTCTGCCTGTACGAAGCGTTCGATCTCCCTTTCAATATTGCCGGTGTCAGCGAAGGTCGACATGATCCGCTCGTTTCCGCTCGCCGTCGCTCTTTCGCAAGCCTCGTCAAGCCAAGTTTCGAGAATAGACTCTTCGACCCTCTTGTGCGCATATCTACTCAGTCGCGATGCGATACCTCGACGTTGGAGAATGCGCAAGCAGATCCCTTGCGCAAGAGCATTTGCGAGGTGAGTCCCTTTTACACGTAATTTCCGGAACATGACCTAAGAGCATTACCATGAATGAATTCATTGATCCGCATGACAACGCAATATTTTGAAACCTCTTCGGATACATAACTACGTACCTGCATAGCACATTCTGCGTTGTACAATGTCAGAGTGGCCGTTGAAAGTCGCTTGGAGCATTCTTCCACGATCGATAAAACATCGACGATTTCTCTGATCCGGAGCAGCTCCGAAGGAGCGAACGATGGAACATCGTCATCGTCAATTACATCCTTCACAGCGTCGCCGAACGCCGAACACGAGGAAGTTGTCTAACATCCGTAATGTGCTATTCCATCGGGAGTCCACGTCCAAGAATACTTTCTTCATGCTAGACATGCCAGACGCGTCCGCGGCGGCAATGAGCTGATCGTTCAGCAAGGAGCTTACATGGAACTTTCGGACTTCTCGACGAACCGCGTTGACCAGGGAATCTGCCGATCTTGGCACAGACTCAGTGTCGATGTCGCTCTCGACGATGTACTCAAGTGAGTCCTCGATGCCAACACCAGGATCAGGAGCATGCGGAGCTATGGAAGACTATCCGGTTTACCAGAATAAGGAGTCAAAACACCTGCACACAATGCATGAGCTGCTAGAGAAAGTCCCGAGGGAGTTTCACCTTCTATCGTCTCTGGGTAGTTCTCACCGTCCCCGGGTATGTCTACCCATTGCATTGGCCGAGGATCGAGATTCTCCTCAGCACCCAGGTCAGACGCTCCCGTATCCGCGTCTCCTGACATTTTCAGGGTGTCTATCGCGGCAAGGTGGAGGGCGTGCGCAAAACAAAGCTGATGGTAGAATGGCTTCGGAGCCGCAGCCTTTTGCAGGTCCCTACCCAACTTTATCATCACTGAAGCGCCGTCAGTGGTTAGACCACGGATATCTGCGATATCTAAGTCAAGGTTGGCAAGAGTTCTCAGCAGAATCTCCTGGATGTTCGCCACGGTAGCTCGATCCGAGAACCTCGAGAGAAGATTCACGGATTTGCCGCCAACTTTCGGAAGGTCACGGGAGCAGTGTAAGTTGACACCTGGATGGGACAAACCTCGCCGGACTTCACAACTCTTGATTTCACAACGGGATTCTGTACCCCTCCCGGCTACACCTCACAGCCGAGGTTTTGCCTTACGGGCATTATCTTAGCTTGCCGCCGAGGACGCCCTCGAGCAAACTTACTCCGGGGGATTGAGGCCGAATACCTGCTGTTCCCTTAGGAAATCCCGTGGGGCATTTTTCCAGCTGGACGTATCGAACCTGCGTCACTTCGTGAAGAGCACGTTTGCACGGGAAGTGACAGACGCGCTAAGCACTCGACCAGCAGCGCGTATGGAAGTGTTCTAGCTACCGATGTTTTTCAATTCGAAACTCAAATGTTTACCAAGAGATCTCTTTCTCTGGTGGCTCCATCCGTCCGCCATTAGCGTGAACACAGCCCCCTCCTCTTCCAGCTTCGAAAATGCTCCTTTGAGATCGGTTTTCACGCGCCTGTGGATTTTCGGCGTCGAAGAGTATTCGAAGTTCGGAACGCTTTGATCGGATACCATGATTGGAATGAGTACACATCCATGTACCCCATTTCACATCCGATAGCTACTGAGATTCCGCGAACACTCATGTTTCGCGAGTTTCCATCGCTTCTTGAGATCCGAGACATCTTCCGGTTGAAATCCAGATTTCAAGTTCGTCTGATGAATCGATGTCAGATGACTTGCGGGGCAGCCGAGAGTCGAAGCGATCAAAGAGACAGCATGATGCTCTCTTGCGGCTGCGAATATCACTTTATTCACTTATTCATATCCGAGCTCCTCGGAGTGGAAAACCCCCTAAAGTTAGAGTCGGTATGGAATCGGATGCATGTTTTCGAGTTTCGTCGCAGCTTCTTCTCTCAATTTAGCTTCTCCTTTCTTCCGCGCTGATTGGAAAGCCAACGAATCCAAAGCTGTTGCCGGAGCTTCGAATAATAGGACCAGACACCAAGCCCCCAGGACGATGAACGTCGCATCAGCGACGAATTCGCGGAGCTGTAAGGGAATCGGGAGGCCTTATATGAGTTCTCGATCATTCGACGCCATGCGAGTGCGGCGATTCGCTAGATTGTGCGAGGCAGACGTGGCGCAGATTAGGCGGGAAAATTTCGGCATCTCGGCCATCATTCACCACGCTGATGGCATGGAGCATTCATCTGATCGTAGTCAGTGCTCAGTGCCACGGAGCAGTCGTCGCAGGTTCTCCCGATCTTTACCCTTCCAGGAGATTGATCTATTGTGAGGGCGACTCCCCGGTGCTCCGCCGGTTCTCCGCCGGTTCTCCGCCGAAACCCTGACGCCTCCTTCCAACTCTATCCCAGGGAGTCTCAACAGCCCGTTCGAAGCTCGAGCTTTCATCTCCTGAGCGGGTGCAGAGCTCCGCTATCGGATCCTCTCCTTTGATCTTCGGAATGGAGACAATCATTGGAATTGAGACTGGAACTCTCGGTATTAACTCACATGCTGGTAATAAGAGGCGGAATACGGATTCCGTGTGGAGAACATAGAAAGCCACAGGGACGGCCACTGCATCAGGTAAAAACTCAAGGATAATCGACTGAGGACGATGAAATTCGGACGGCTCAGGAACCAGCGGATTAAGCCTAGAAGGATGAGAATATGCAGAATTATGTTTTGAAGTTAGTTCAGATAATCCCCCATCACCATCGGGGCGGGATACTTCACATTCTCTCGAGCCCTTGGATCTGTCGATATTGACTTAACATCCCACTGTCGTCCCCAAATTTGAAACATCGGAAGCAACTCACGAGCTCTCCCACATGAGCACATGTAGATCAACCAGATGAGGCTCGCAGCCCACAACGGTCTGGATATGGCTGCGTATAGTACCGACTCCGATACTGAGGCGTAACCCCGATCATTCCAGATGCAGGACGCTGAGAAGGCAAGCGTCCTCGATTATCATTTATGGAACAGCCTCCCGTTCACGGGGTCTGAGAATCGTCCGAAGATTCATTATCCGTCACGAGGAACCTACGGTACATTTTCTCAGCCCATCGAAATCTTGAATACATAGGGGGACTCGCCCCTCAACCTGGTCGCATTCATGACTATCGATATCACTCACCCATTCCGAAAGCGATTATGAGGGCACTGTATAAGATCCAACCGGCTCTGTACACAGTGCTCCCGAGATCGACATCTTTATATTTGTCCATGAGATATCCACCGAGAACACCGACGGCTGCCGGGCTCAGGTGGGTGAGGCTATGCGTGTGCATGTGGAAAGCCAAATGCAATGTCTGAAGGAAACTCATCGCTTTACTTGCCGAACCCAAGCTGGAACACACACATTTCCATGTTTTTCAAACTGGTGCTTACCGCTATAACTCGCTCCGGTTGCAGAAAAAATATCGGAGGCGCGCCATAGTAATACGTCAGACTCGCAACGTACACCATCGAGCCCCCGACGAGACATAGAAGGATTCGGATGCTCTTGCCTGGCTCCCGAGTTAGCAAACAGATGGGTAGAATGAGTATGCAAACAATCTGCATATCTGCTGCGGTGTACCTGGGACGAGGTGGAGCGGAATTATCATGCGAGTTCTTTTTTCAGGATCTCGGCTTTCATTACGATCGGCTCTCACGTACCACTGGTTCTCGACGCAGGCTTCTTCCATTGTCCAAAAATTGTTAATGAAAATGGCATACGACCACCATCTCACATTACAAAATTTCTCAAGGTACGGATACATATAGTCGATGCTTGGTCCCGAGGTAATGAGAGGCAGAACATAGAATACGGCCATGGCTCCCATGCCCGTAACAATGAACCTGACCGCGCGACGCAGGATCACTATCAACGCGAGCTTCCATGCAGACATCTGGAGGAGGAAGGTCGTTGCGTTCCCCACAACTCCTCGCAATCCGTGTACATATATCGGATCCATTTCGCCCGGAAAATACTTGCATCAGTTTGCTTCCGCACGTGAGCGATAATTCTGTACATTGTGAAGCCGAGAAGTGCGAAGAATGTCTCCAAGGCCAATAAGGACTGATTAATTATTACGCCGGATGGGGATTTGAACATCCAGGCGACGGTCAGCGCGCTATCTGGAAAGCGAAGGGAGCAGTGAGTTCCTGAGGCAGCTTTCATTAGGAGGAGACCGAGAGAAGCGTTCGATAAGACCTACCCGTATTGCCCCAGTCTTTCACGAAAACATGTGCGTAGAGAATCCATAGTGCGCTCAGGGCTCGAATCCCGTGCACACAATCTAAGCTCCTCGATTCGGGCACCAGGGTGGTATTGGTGATCTTCAGGTAGTTTGCGCGGGCCGAAAAACATCGAGCGACTCGAACGAGACCTTGAGAACCGAATTAGCCATTCTTAGATCGGGAATCGGATTACTCGGATTCGGAGGCGAGGGAGAGGATAAGATGGCATAAGAAGATACAGTTCCGCTAAATTAATTGTCTGCTCGAATTTTGATCCAACGACTTCATATTGAAGGACGGTACGGAGAATGATTTCGAGCTAGGAGGACCTTTGCTCAGTATCTCAGACCTTTAGATGCTATCTGACCCATTGATTGCATTATCAATGAGCACTGATGTTCTCGCTCTACGATACCTGCCTCGTGTATCGTTGCCGCAGAAAATGTCAACCGTGGTGCCCAGTATTAGCAGGCCAGTCAAGATTCCGATTACGACTCTGCAATGGACGGGAGTAGGCATTCTTCAGAAAATCCATGATTCCTCCCCAGGATTCGGTAAGAGTATCGACACCTATAGCACCGACTTCCCTATTCAGGTTATATCGAAGACGAACAAAGATCGCATTCATTCCTGTCGCCAATCCCTCTCTACTCGACTCTCATATGATATATCGATTGGGGGCACAATATTCCCCAATCAGGTCACAATTAGGAGAGTATTTGAAATAAGGATTCCGGAGCTACACACCCACATATTACGGTGCCGGTGCTCGGTGGTCGTCCCTTGATTTGATCCCTGCATCCTAGAACATCCGCGCTGATTCCGTATTTCCCGACGACTGGAAGCAAGAACATGTGGTGTAATTGTTAGTGAGGACTGGGATTATTGTAAATTAAGCTCACCAAGGGAATGACTGGCTTTCCTATGTGGCATCGAGTCTCCATCTAAGAGAATAAGAGTCGGCACTCACATTTTTTTGCTAGATGAGAAATGACCGAGGAATCGCAAGTTGATGGCAGACATATTCCCACGCGGTATCCGACGGGAGATTTCTCTACCAGGTCCAGGACATAAGACACATCCCCTCCGCCGAGAAGTTCCTTAGGGCGAATAATTTTCTCATTTCACGAATTTTCTCCTTCGTATAGGGAAGGGGTGTCAAAGTCAAATCTTCGGTGGGCCACGGAGGAGCACAGGGAGAAGCCGGCGGGCCACATTCGAAGTTTTTTTCGACATTATGCTTGATTCACGTTGTTTGAGCGGAGAGCGGAAAGCTGGAGGGAAACACATATGTACATGCATGATGGGTCACAATCGATTCTCGATTTTTTGGAGCTGACTCTTTCTATTCGCGATTCGAAAATTACAAGGATATTATCCTATGGAATTCCCGAGGATCGGCCGCGGGCCACGAAGAAACTCAGGGCCACTGGTTGCCCGCGGACCACCTCTTTGACACCCCTGGTATAGGGTTTCCGCCAGTCTCCAGCTTGCCCCGCCCCCTACCGGCATCGTCAGGCGTCTCGACGGAGCAAGTTGGAGGGATTCGAATCATACGGAAGAGAGCGTATTGCTTTCCGGCTATCGGCAGTCAGAAAGCGTCTGGTGCTCGTTAATTTCGGTATAGATCGGAGTCAGGCACGAATCGAACATACGACGGCCCGAGTTATAGACGGAAGAATAGACTCGGAGAATCGACGGAAGGCTTCCGGAAAGAGCGGATCGAGCTGACTCGCATCGAGGAAGTCTTCCGGTGTCTTCGACTCAGTGGCGCACCGAGCCCATTCGGCGCCCAGTACGGAAATGCGACCCCTCTGTCTCGAAGCTTTCCTCTTCAGAGACTTCACCACTTGGACACGACGGGGGTAATCCGCGTCGTGAGAAAGACAGAGAGCGTATTCCCCACGGGGAACCTGCACGGTATTCGAGCGTTCCGAAGCAGAAGACTCGGGCGGGGCTGACTTGCTTCGTGAGGATTCCCGTGAGCGCCTCCTTGGGGTTGGCGCCGGGGGCACGTGCCCTGGTTCCCCCAATCTCTCTCCCACCAGACATGCACCTGCTTCGACTCTCCGGTGATCCTGAGACAGTTCTTCTCCATCTCCGACTAAGATCTAGGAATTCTACGGGAGCTCTCCTCTGACCTGTCTTGGAGCAAACTTGGCAGCGCAGGGCCGGACCTTATCAGAGAGAGGAGAGCTCCCCGCCGAGAACAATTCTGGAGTCATCGCTGTAGACTGCAACTGCAGCCTTCCGTAAAATCGGAATCGTTCGATTCGAGAAGCGTCAACACGTGCCAAAAATGAGGATAGTTCGGAGGCTCGCGGGAGGCATCACTGGAGATTCTGTTACGGGACCGAATCCAGGGAGGAAGCGTGTTTCCGCGCCTCCACTGTCGAACTGTTCCGAGGGTCAGTTCACATCTCGAGCGTGTTTTCCATCCGAGAACTCGATACTGCTTTCATCGTGAGAGGCCCCGCTCCGTGATCATCTGATCCGTAACAAGCGTACAAATTATGCACATATACTGTTTGCGGAAAAAGGCTTCCCTTCGGACCGAGGACGCCGGCACGTGACTCGGCCGTCGCGGAGCATGACCTCACTCCATGGACGGGATCTAATTGAACGAGGAAGCAATAGTCGGTCTTCCCCGGAAAGCTCGGAGAGGCAGAATTTTCAACTAGGCTCACCCAAATTCTCGGGTCCTGCTGGATGAAGCTGGGGAGAGTCCTGTGTAAGAGCGGTTGTCGTCTCATCAGGATTGAAGCTGTGCAGTATTGACCTGCGAAGGCGACCTGCGAGGAAAAAACCAATAATAATGATTTTAGCCGAGCTCAGGCGAGTCATAGAGAGCAGACATCCGCATGCTATAATTTCGTGTCGATGTCGATAGACAGCGGGGTTCTGGAGCATCGATCATAAATCTGCGCTACTTGTCAGAGAATGAACAGCATTAAACGGCACGGAAACGAGGTGTGACTGGAGGCAGATAGGCACCTGTGGACTGTTAGGGGCCTCTTGAGAGAGTCTACATGAGCGGTCACCACGGGGAGATTGACCAGCCGATTTGTCGCGATAATTTCACGGGGGAATATAGGACTGCTTGACCACGGCGTACGAATGCCCTAGATGCAGGCGGATTCCACTTCTGTCTGGCGCCAACGACTTAGAGCTCTTCGAGAGGTTTCTCAAATCGAAATCCTCAGCATCAGCGAGAAAGTGCTGCCATAATAGCTCTGGATATAATATACCGACGTATCGGTGAGAGACCCTAGGAATGCCCGAGTTTTCCCCAAGATCCGAGGAAGGAGCGTCGGGGGCACTGATTCCCGGCGGAGAAGGAGAAGGGCAGGGGAAGAACGGGAATCGTACCGTCATGAGGGGACGATGCATGATAACTTCACATGGTCCCTGATATGAAGATCCCATAGCAGACTAAATGAGGAAATATTTTCGCGGTGTTCGCTGTTGTCTATTTTCCCACCTTCTTTGGATCATTTTTCTCGGGTGCTCGAATCCGTAGACACTGGTCGTAGCTGCCCATTGAAGCGAGACGACCATCGAGCATGCCGGGTAGGATACCGCCAGAAGAGTCCAAGACTGCAAAAAGGCAAAGTTTTCTATAAAATCTCTTTCCCCGTGTTCCGGGAGGAGCCGTGGAGAATCCTCGAGAATCTTTCGCTCTAATTAGATCGAGCAAGACGAAGGAGCATGCTTTGAACTAATGGCTTTGTTTTCCACGAAATCGTTTCTTTCTGCGTCGCGGCACCGCGAATTGGGGAATGAGTCACGCTGATCCCGACACTCACATCTCATTGCCCATACTTTTCCATCGTTCAGCCCTGAGGCGATCCTTAGAAAACTCTGAAGACACTCTTGCGGAATCTCGTCATCGTAGAGAACCTCCTGGGCGTATGGAAGGATCTGTCTCCGCATCTGTTTAGTCAAGTTGGCAAGGACAGGCTCCAGATCTTCATTCCATGTCGAATAATCTATTTCCTGGCGCAGTACGTCGAGAATGGATTGGGAGCAGCCGGCGTACTTGGCCCATAGCGAGATCAGCACTATCGATTTGAGCAACAGCATCTAAATGATCCTTGGGCGCGGGATTATCCGACGCCGTTGTTGTCGAATGGTCCGAGCTCCAAACAGTGTCGGGGGATCGGATGCTCGGGAATGGGATCCTCCTGTGCGTTCACAAAGATTATCTAACACGTTGCACACGGAACAGAATCACGGCGGTAATCTCAGGGCGGGATTGGAGCGACTCCGAGAATTTCTTCACAACCTCCCTTTCTTTATACCACTCTTTGATTCTGATTTCCTCAAGCTGATGTCTCGCTGTCCTCCGGTGATGTTCCCTCACCGAGGGGGAGGCACATTCCGTGATACCTTTTTGACTAGGGATTTGCCACTCCTTGAGGAGGCGAACGCAGGAGGGATGTACATCTTCTGTCCGAAAGCACTCTCACTGAGGCCAAAACTTTTTCGGGCTGAACTACACAGCCAAGGTTTAACGTCCCGGGTACTGTTATTCACATTGCTCCCGAGGACGGATCCATAGAGCAAATTTACCCAGGAGGATCAAGGCCGAGTACCTGCATATATTTCCGGCAGCAGGGATTGAACCCGCACCGCCTCCCGCGCGAGCGGCGTCGAGACCAGCGAGAGAGATCCCGATCCGGACTTTGAAGTTGAGGTGGAAGTGACCCCCATCATCCATCATCGACGAAGGCGCCTCTGACGAGAATACTGTGTTTCCAGAGAACGACATAGGTATTTTCATATCGAATTCTGAACGCCCCGTTGATGAAACGCCTTATCAGCTTATGAAAAGTCACTGGAAACCGCCCCACGAGTTCAGTGTTGCCTGTACTGCCCGTATTTCGCCACAGAATTACTCGCTGATCGGGAGAGAGCCAAACTCGAAAGACCCGTGAAGAGCCCACTGACGAAGTTCGCGAGGCTCCTGGGTCCTGGGTAAAGAGGGCGCTCTTCAAGCTCACAGTGAGGCTTACTATCATATCGCAGCGCATGGGAGATAACATTTCATCGCGTTTCATGAAAATTTTTCGCGTCGTATCGACAATCGAATTGACACCGAGCGTCTTATTCAAGTAGAGAAGGACAGATTCGTTCAGAGGCCACCGAGACGATGGAAGAATCGATGGCTCGTGCTCTTCTGAAGATGGAACACACAACGAGGGCAACTTCAGACAGCTTCTGCGAGTGTTGGCTGAGAACGGCAATGCTGTTCTGAAGGAGCACTTGAGAATTTCGGCTTCGAACGCGCTAAATACAAGGGAGACCGTACAGAACGAATTGACTGTCGGACGAGACGTCATCCGTCGAAGCGTCCTGTCGGGCATCGATTTTCAGTCTACTGTTAGATGAGATCAAGCAGGATCTACGGGACCGGTTCAAGACGGACGAATCCAGTGCCACAAGGCCTTTGGCCTCCGTGCTCCCACAGACCGTACTCGCCCCGCTGGGTCAGGATATTCGGAACGTTGTCGGCTCATTGCATTCGAGATATCACAACTTGATGAGCGAAGTTGGACTTGATAAACTTCATGAAAAATTCTGCATTGGCAGCAAAAGTGGAAATCCAGCCGAGATAAACTACACGACAATGTACCCTTGGGTGCATTGAGCTCCGCGGATTCGGATGTTTATCCTAACGATAGTTTCTTACTGAGTCTCGCCAATCAGCGTGGCGTCAGCAGAGCGTTTTCTTTTCGACACCAAGACGTCTGAAAACGTATTTAAGAACAACCATGATTGAGAGCAGGTTGACGAGTCTCGCCCTGATAAACACACATCGTGATATCTATGAGCGTATCGAGTCGGTTATGAACATTCGGATCAAATAATAGGCGAACGAATTTCACGCGATAAGTTGTTCAATATGCCGTGAAAGACTCCCTCAATCTTGGATACACTCGTCTTATGAGGTTTCTTTGTTAGCTGCGGAATCAAGCTCGATATGTGCGCCGAAGCGCTAAGAAATGCAGCTCATAACTCGATACTTCGCTATAAATTGGCTTGCCTGTGTGGGGCAAAGTAGCATTCCGTTCCTCCAGCAACAGCAAAAAAATTCCGGATCCGCCACTGCTCACGGGGAAACATCACTGCCCCTGAGCCGCGATCAGATTCGAACGTTTTGTGTTCGCAAAGCAATAACTCCCCACGAGGAAAGTTTTCTGAATACTCGTCGCAAATCACAATGCCGCATCCATGCATGAACGTCGCCGATGAGATCGATGCTCGCTTGGCGGGATTGACCTTTACATGATATAACACTTGTCTGCCAGAAAACCGCAATCGATCGGTCGTGCTGAAGGGACAGGATGGTCTCAACTACCGAAGTATCTGTCGAATTCTCTAATTGTAAGTGAAGCATCTTCCATCGCGGTTATTTCTTCTGACTGATTCGAAGGAAGCTCGGACGCCGTGGAGAGCTCCGCCGCGTCGCCAGCATGGGGCTCCACCGAATCTATCGAAGGCGTCAATGTCTCCGACCGGTCAGTCGTATTCGTATGCTGCTCATTCGGGCTCGGAGCAGGACTCTCATCCAGACCTCTTCGCAGACTCGTACCGAACACTCGTTTGTATCATCAGGAATAGGAGCATCGGAGGCGACGTCGCAAGCGTTTCCCATCACCAGCCAGACGGAAACTAGTCAGACCTCGTGTAGCTAGCCTTGTCTACCTTTAAGACAGCAGCCTCCATGGCTGCACCCTAGGAGCGACGCCGTGATTCTGAGGAGACGGAGATAGGGCGAAAAATCACAACGATATACCGAATAACCCCCTGGTCGGGAGCGAACTGGGGCGTTCGATATCGATGACCGCAAAATCCGGAGCTAGATAATGAAGATCAATGTTAAACGCGTCAGTCATGACAACAAAAGTAGTTTCCGCGATTGATGCAAACGAAAAATCCGTATTGGGTGCTGCCGAACTTCCTCTTCAGAATTCAACTTCCGCACAAACAAGTATTGTCTTTCCGTGAAGACTCGCTTCTGGCTACTCCTTTCCACGAATCGCACCAGGGTATGTACAAAGTATCCGACGCGGGGAGCCTAGATTAATCAGAAATCGGTTTTGATTGCCAGACTATTGACAGCGAGGCTGGGCGCAAATATCTTACGCTTCCCCCTTCCGCCAGCGCCAAAAATCAAAACAAAACAGACAAATAGAAACTAGTAGGCCGTCAAGGAAAATCATCAGAGCGGGGGATTAGATTCCAAAGGGTCTGGGCAAAACCTGTGGAAAATCTGCCCGCCGAAGCCGATCCGATCGAGTTGGGTCTCATTTTGAAGGTAATTTCGAGAGGGACATTTTCCGCATGGTCCCGGATCCGATCGCACCTCGTGGTCCCAGAAAACGCCCGAAGGAGTTTTTCCTTCAAGCCCTTCTATCTCGAGAACGGCTGCAGCTACAGAGTCGAGCGATAGCGCGATTGGAAGCTCTCGTCGAGAGCTTTCGTTTGAGACCCCTCGACCGAATCGGCCTCTTCTGAGATTTTGAAAATAGGGGACCCCAGTTTTCTAATACTGCGTTCTAGTACTTCTACACGAGACGCACCTTTGATACTATGTCAGTTAGAAGTCTCAAGTGTCCCCCAACCATTAGATATCATACCGGGAAAATCGAAGGGGTGCATCTTGCTTTAACAAGAAATTGTCTTAGATAAACTGAGTCAGAGGCGGATGGAGCTAATGACTGAATAAAGTCGAAATCTTTATGGGAGACTATAGTTCGTATTGATCTCTCGATACCCGATCTTCCTTAAAGAGTGTCACCTTGAATCGCTATATCCGTGTGCCTCCTCGATGGGATTGGGTGAAAACTTTGAGGATGAACGTTTTCTCCTGTCTCTGAGGCCGAATCGGACGACCAAGGGGTGCAATCGAAAGCTCTCGGCGTCAGCTTCCAGATTCCGAGCTCAGAAACGGGCTCCCGGCGCTCGTTTCGGAGTAATCGGGCAAAAAGAGGCGAATGGGGAAAATTCCGTGAAAATACGGATTTTAGCCGGGTGACTAACACGGCAAGGTGGAGGGCGTGCGCTGAACAAAGCTGATGGTAGAATGGCTTCGGAGCCACAGCCTTTTGCAGGTTCCTACCCAACTTTATCATCACTGAAGCGCCGTCAGTGGTTAGACCACTGATATCTGCGATATCTAAGTCAAGGTCGGCAAGAGTTCTCAGCAGAATCTCCTGGATGTTCGCCGCGGTAGCTCGATCCGAGAACCTCGAGGGACGATTCACGGATTTGCCGCCAAGTTTCGGAAGGTCACGGGAGCAGTGTGAGGTGACACCTGGATTGGACAAACCTCGTCGGACTTCACAACTCTTGATTTCACAACGGGATTCTGTACCCCTCCCGGCTACACCTCACAGCCAAGGTTTTGCCTTACGGGCATCATCTTAGCTTGCCGCCGAGGACGCCCTCGAGCAAATTTACTCCGGGGGATTGAGGCCGAATACTTGCTGTTCCCTCAGGAAATCCCGTGAGGCATATTTTTCCAGCTGGACGTATCGAACCCGCGTCGCTTCGTGAAGAGCACGTTTGCACGGGAAGTGACAGACGCGCTAAGCACTCGACCACCAGCGCGTATGGAAAATTTCTAGCTACCAATGTTTTTCAATTCGAATCTCTCCCTCTGGTGGCTCCATTCGTCCGCGGTCAGCGTAAACACAGCCCCCTCCTCTTTCAGCTTCGCAAATGCTTCCTTGAGATCGGTTTTCACGCGCCTGTGAATTTTCGGCGTCGAAGAGTATTCGAAGTTCGGAACGCTTTAGTCGGATACCATGGTTGGAATGCAGGTATGCGCCGGATATCTAGCACCCCAAAGAATTCGCCTGTCGCGACGTGAACTTACTCCGCTTCGGAATCTATGTGGCGTCGAGCTATATGATCGCTGACTGGACCTAGCCGGGCGAGCCAGAATAGGATTCGCAAGATCATTGAATTGAAGGCCATTGACGACCCTCCCTTTCTTCTCAAGCATCGCAAGATGTCCCCGCAATCCAGTGTAGCTTCCCTTTCCGGTCGACAAGATTTTCCGACAATCCTTGCAC